GTGAAATAAAACGATATGAATAGAAGGAAAGGCATTTTATTGGAGACTTTACACTGCTAGAAAGTACAATAAAAGTGCTAGTTCACTCTAGAAAAGTTGGTCCCAAAATGGTACTATGCCACAGCATCTATCAGCTTACATAAACATTTATAAAATCGCTATGAACTGGCCCCTGTATTACAAACGCTATTTTTTTTCACATTAATCTATGTAAAATTGAAGGATCAAAACTTTTTAAGAAAAAGGGCAAGCACTCAAAAGCAGAACCTACCGGAAAATCCATTTTGGGCCAGGTTTGAGGTAAAAAAACCCCGAAGATAGTTTAAACTTTCTTTCATTATTAATAATTATATGTACATGGAAAAATATTCCAATTTATAGGAAAGCGTCTTTTTTTTTTTTAATAACATCAAACATTTTTTTTAGACCTGTATATAATTACTTTTAAGACCTCAGAGGACATTGTCTCCTTTAAAAAATATATTTAGCGCTGCTGAAACGTTTCACGAGTGACCCTGACGGGTTTTGTTTGTTGGTTTCTAATAACCAGCAATATCGCACATCTGCTGTTACAGCAGTCCCCACGTAAGTACTATTTTGACGAAACGCCACAGCTCGGAAGAAGCGCAGAGCTTTGCAAACCGAGGAAGAAGAAAGAGAAGATGAAGAGGAGGAGGAGGAGGACGAGCACCGCGGGCACACGGCAGTGTCTAGGCCCCGCCAGCCCCGCACTGCCACGAGTGGAACTGCCTCCGCTATTTACAAGCTCCGCTTTGCTCTCCTCAAGGCTGAGCCCGAAAAGATTACGGCCGAAATATAAAGCAACAGAATTTTGAGGGCTGAACAGCCTATTTTTAATTACATGCTCTTCCCCCCCCACACACAAACGCACACACACACGAGCAGAGAAGAAACCCGGGCGCGCCGAGAGGCGGCCGGCCCGGCCACCGCTGCGCCCGGCGCGGCCCCGCTGGGGCAGCTCCCGCACGGACACTGCCTTCTCCTCATCGTAGGACGGCTCCCGCACTTATATTACCCGCGAAGCAGGGCTACTGTTTTCCCACCGCAACAGTTTGGACATGGAGAGAGGAAAGTTCGCAGCTAAAGAGGAGAAGGAGAAGGAGAGGGACACGAGAGCGCAGGATAACGCCGCGGGATGGGAGAGGGGCAGCGGGGCCGGGGCAAGAGCATTTCTGCGGCGGCGGCCAGACGGAGCCTCCCTAGATGTCTATGCGGGAGTGCAGGGCGCTGTGTTTGCTGTCGTGCTCCCAGTAGGAACAGTGCATCATGGACAGCTCGGCGGGCTGGCGGGCGCAGGC